CTGTATGAGTGTCATTTTTGTGAAGTGGAATAAATAAAATGGAGTTTTTTCTTTTTTCAATATTTATTATTCTATGCTATATAAAACAAAAATGTTTTTTATTTAAAAATTGTTGAGTTAGAAAATACATAAAGAATATTTAAAGAACCAAGAAGCAGTTTGACAGTAGACTTATCTTTTTATTTGAAACATCTAGTAAATTTAATTTATGTATTTTCTCAATTTTGACAAGGTATAGTTTCTCCTAGTCAGTGATTATTATTTGTAATATGATTTAGTCAAACAATTAAGTTTTTATTTATAATGTATTTAAGACTATTTGAGCTAATAAACTAAAATTAAAATTCAATTTAATGTCTTTGAATAATAAGTGTATTATTTATAAATGTTATATTACTTTCATAAATCTGAATTTTCTAATAGTCTATTGTTATTTAAGGTTTATTTCATTTTTTATCTAAATAGTATTGATTAATTATGACATTCTATACATCTCATTCATATTTAAATCATTTAATGATATATTTCATATGAAGTATCATTTTTAATAAGTTGTGAGTTATTTTGCTTGATTTTATTTTACATCCTTTTTAGTATCAAATCTATTTTTATCATAGAATAAAATTTTATTTCCCTTTTTAAAAATTTTAAACAAACTCCTTTCTATTGTCCTTGATATTTTATGCATCTACCATTAAAATATAGAAATTAAAAAAGTAAGTATGATATAAGTTGAAAATAACATATGTCTTCTGAATTAAGTTCTAAAAAAATAAGCTATTCTTTTTAAGAATGACACAACAAATAACACATGACTATAGTTTTGTTCATTTATTAAAATATCTTAAAATTTAAATATTTTATTTATATGAATTTTTCATTCAAGTATAAAGAAGAAAATATTAAATGATAATTTAGAGCAAATTTAGAAAAAGTTAGATAATTATTCATCTACTTTGAATGAAAGAAGCATTAAATAATACAATGAATAGTTGTCAGTTGAATATATATTTTCAAAGTAATTATTTAACACTTAAAAATTTCCTTGGTATATTTATTTGTTTTCTTGCTACTAACTCACAAATACATTCTTGAAAGCATTCATTCTCAAAATTTGACTTTTCTTTGAATATTGATATTCAATAATATTACGTATATAATATATTTTGCATGTACCAACTTTTTCTTTCTCTTTTAAAAAATGTTAAACAAGTTTATTTGTACTATCTTAATATTTAAATATTCTGCAATCATTAAATATTTTATTATATGTATTATAACTATAAAGTTATTTAATATTATAAATATTCATCTTGAAAATTGATTTAAATGAAATTGTTATATTTCATTGAAATATTTTAACACTGATTTCCAAATTAAAAATATCTTTAATATATCAAAAACTATTATTATCATTCATTCTTTATGTAATAATCCAATTCTTCATTTACTGATTCTTGTTTCTGTTATATTTCACATTCTTCTTTTATTGGATTAATACTTAAATGAGAATATTCTCCTGCTTAATTTTTCTATTTTTATACTATTTAATTTAACATTACGAAATGTATTTTATTTATGAATTAAGCCAATTGAGTATATTTATTTAATACTCTCTGTTTTATTATTTCATTAATATTTGTATAACTAGTTTGTGCGCAAAAAGTATATTTTAGAAAAACAAAAGAAAGCTAATAACAATGTAAAAAAAAACAAAAGTATTGTTTGTTTTGTAAAGTTGAAACAATTTAATTCAATACTTTCTTCTATCATACAATATAACAAATAAAATACTAAATATAACATAAATGTATGAGACTAAAACTTATAAACAATTATGGAATTATCATTCTTATATAAATATTAAATGATATCATTTAAGTTATTAAGGTAATGAACCAAACATTAGACCAAGAATCACTAGAACTCGTTTTAAATGCAATAACTACTAAACAGATATCCATACCGTATAAAAGGAAAGTTCATTGACCTTAATATGATTATATATAAAAGAATATCATTAAGTTATTTAAAGAAATACCGAAAAATACAAAATACTAAGATAACTAAAGAAGATAATTAACGAAGAGATATAATAACACTAACCGTAATTACTATTTGATGAACAATTATGAATTAATACATAGAAAATAAAATAACAATTAGCATATTAAATGAATCGAATATTATATGTAAATTATAATGAAATAAGAGATATTATACTATCATTTAAGTAATCATAATAGTATTAAAAATAAAAGAGTCATAAACAATAAATAATTCTTAATTATACGTCGAGAATATACATTTATAAAATAGACAAATTAAATAAAATCATTTAATGAATTTGTTTGAACCAAAATAAAAATATTCAGAAGAATAAGTTTCAAAATAATGTCCTATTTGCAGATTCTATATATAATTTAATAACATAAATTATCAAAGAATAATGAAAATCCGTTAGTACATAATAGTTATTGTTTGTTTTATTAAATATATTCAAATTACAGTATTTGCTTAATGTTAGTTATAATGTAATTTAAAATTGAAATGATAAGATTTAAATGTAGTACAAATTATCGCTTAACAAATAAAACCAAATTATTTTCTATTGTTATACCTATACAATAACATCTTTATTAAACTTATCATTACAAACAAGTGTTTTCATTGTGACAAGTTAAAAAATTCTTTAAAATTCAATTTAAATCAATAATAAATTAACATTATCAACCCAAATAAATTAATTAAAAAACAATAAAAAAATATTAAAGAGCATTTATTAAATTAAGAAGGTAATTAGAATAATGGCAACGTCTATGTTGGTATTCCTATTTCCCCCACTATTTATTTATTTGGTTCGTGATTAGTAAAAATAAAACTAAATTTGAAAAAAATAAAAATAAAGAAAAATTTAGATTTAATAACAGAATTTCATTAACATTAATAACACAAATAGATGTTATAAAAAGAAATAAATTAAAAAATTACTGAATAATAAAAACAAAAAATAGAAAAAAGACGATAAAAAAAATGATTAATAAAAATAATCCCGAAATAAAAGGGAAATTATAAGGGAGGAATGTCAGATTGAAAAATGGTTGAACCAATAAAACAAGTTAAAAATGGAAAAGATAAACTAATAAAAACCATCTGAATAACATTAAAATACCATGGCTTTCGTGATTAACTTGTCTCTTTTCTTCCGTATTTGGATTGCTTTTATGGGTCTTAGTTTGTTTTTTTATAACCTTATAAAATAAGATGCTTGTAAAAACTTTATATTCAAAAATTATAACAAAAAAAACACTAATAATGACAAGTGATTTTCTTAACTGGTTTGATTCATCTTTGTGCAAACCCATTTGGCTCCTTACATGTTAAAGGTATTGTAACACAAGGAGCAGCCGTTGTTTCTATTGTTGCTCTTTTACTTCTTCTTACTGGTATTTGTACCCTTGTTTCACCATTCTTTGGTTTTATTCCATTCCCAATTATTAGAAAATTCGGTAGTGCATTCTCACCATACGTTGTTATTCCATGGTTTGTTGTTCATGGATTTGTTTGCCTCTTTATGACTGGTGTATTTGGTTGTATCGTTGGTATCTTTTGTTTCATTACCGTCATCATTTCAGTTATTGGTATTTTCTTCAGTTTCTATCAATCAAGCGATGACGAATAATCAAATTAATTCAATTTTATTATAACTCTTTCAATTCTTCTATTAAAAAACACTACTTCTTCCTCCATTTCAATAAAACCTTTTGAAATAATGATATATTTTTGAAGTTGTTTATCGTTAAAATAATACTATATCAAGACTAACAAGAAAACAAAGAATAAATTAAGTTTGAGGCTTATTCAATTTTTTTACAAAGACAATAAAAAGGGATAAAAAATAAAAATAAAA